TCCTGGTCCACTCCCACTGTTGCCCACCGCTAACAAGCACAGTAACTTCTCCCACCAGGCAGATTTCCCCCACCCTTTCACTTTCCCGTATAATACCACTTCTTTCCATCCCAGGCTTCCCACAGCAGAAGCCAGAGGGCACGCTCCATGCCAGGGAGGGATGACGTGGTCACGGGGAGTGTCAGGGTGTTCCCAGTTGCTGCTACCAGTTTGAAGCCCTGGCTGAGTGCACCCCTTCTCCCAGGGCCCCTCTGCTTGTGCAGGCTGTAAATGGTGGTGGCAGATTGAATGTACCCTCAGCAAGTTTGCGGATGACACCAAGCTGAGTGGTGCGGTTGACACACCAGAAGGACGGGATGGCATCCAGAGAGACCTGGACAGGCTGGAGAGGTGGGGTCATGGGAACCTCATTATTTCCAAGAATGTTGCAGTGGAAGTTGCTTTACGGATTCACTGCAAAATACTGAGTAAAGAAAAAAAAATCAATAGGAAATATCCACCTTTCTTAAGAAGAAAAGCCATTTTCCCCTTAAAGTTCAGTTCATTCTGCTCTGGCGTTTTCTGACCTTGATTAAGACACTTTCCATGCTTGTACAGGGGCTTTTCTTCAGTCAGCCTGGCGGGAGTTTCTATTCCCTAAGCCACAGGGGCATCTACAGACTTGAAGGGACTTTGCCCTCAGCACCAGAAGGACATGGACCTGTTGGAGCGGGGCCAGAGGAGGGCTACTAAAATGCTCCAAGGGCTGGAGCCCCTCTGCTGTGAGGCCAGGCTGGGAGAGTTGGGGGTGTTCAGCCTGGAGAAGAGAAGGCTGCGGGCAGAGCTGAGTGCGGCCGGTCAGGGCTTCAAGGGGGCCCAGAGGAAAGGGGGGGACAAGCTTTTTAGTAGGGCCAGCTGGGACAGGACAAGGGGGGATGGCTTTAAACTGAACCAGGGTGGGTTTAGACTGGATCTAAGAAAGAAATTCTTTCCAGTGAGGGTGGTGAAACCCTGGCAGGGGTTGCCCCGAGAGGGGGTGGAGGCCCCATCCCTGGGACCATTCCAGGCCAGGTTGGCCGGGGCTGTGAGCAACCTGATGTGGTTCAAGGTGTCCCTGCTCCTGCAGGGGGGTTGGGCTGGGTGACCTCTGGGGGTCCCTTCCCACCCAAAACATTC